GCCACGTCCAGCGGTACGACACGATTGGTGTTCTTCTTTGAAACCAATAGTTTTGGCAATAAATTAGCAAATGTTTTGCGAAATGTGATGATTGGGTTGACGGCTGAGTTGGCCGAAGCAAATACCTGTTTCATTCAATTATCACACATTGATTATGAGTTAATTTTCTAATTAAAATTACATCACTTTTGGTATTACCTGAGCTACAAAACAACCATCAATATACCAATATGGTAATTCCTATTAATGAAACAATGAGTGTAAAAAAACAAAGTTTGTGTCATTAAAAATTATTGCTAAAAACAGTGCAAACATACAGCTGTGGGTGATTTAAAGCGCCGGTACATCACCACCACTTGCAATGGAAACCAACAAATAATTGTCGTTAATATATAGATGAAGAGCATCCGAATGAGGACACGGCTATACTTCAAGCGCACCGGTATATCGTTGATTGCGGTCATCCTCTCGTACCGATCCATATGTTTAATGATCACTGAATAGACAATAATCATTACAATGAGGGGAAAGTATACGAGAGGAAGCATTAGGAAAATCCAATAGTATTTCGATGTCTCCGCGCTATCCTCTGCACACCATATCTGGTGATTGCAAAACAAATCCACAAAAGTTGTTAATTAAATATATTAAGCCACAAATATGTCTTAATATATCATACCTCCAGATAGTCTAACCATTGCCTCTCGCGATACAATCGCCAAAAGGCCAGAGGACTGGACAGTATGATAGCTAACGACCAAATGGCAAATATGATTAAATATGAGGCCTTCTTATTTAGGTGTCGTTTGAATGGATACGCGATTGCAATGAAACGGTCGACGGATATGATAACCAACGATAAAACGCTCGCCAATAGACATAACACTGTTAAGTATATTGCATAATCCGTGGGAAATTATTATATACTTTTATCATTGTACATTTAAAAGTAATGAATCATGTTAATTTCTATACTTTTGATAAAGCCCTCTAATTTACAGAAAACGGGTCCCAAAACATAATTCTGATGGATTACGTCGACGAGTGCCATCCACGGACAGAACCTACACATTGCATATTATAAATTAATATAGATCTAATAATCATATAATGATCATTTTATATTATACAGAGTGGTGAGCAAATCGGCGATTGCCATATTGAGTATGAATAGATTGATATGTGTTTTACGCAATGATTTGAGTTTTAAAATGAGACAAATGATGGCCAGATTGCCAAATATGCCGATTATCATAATGGGTAGGATAGCCATTGACTTGACAAACACTTCCCATCCGGGTTGGCGCAGCCAAATAGTATGCGTGTCATCGCTATAGTTATATTGTGAGAAATTGAAGTGATCGACATCGATGTCATTCATGCCATCGGCACTGAAATCATTGCCATTTCGCCGAAACAGTTGGGAAAGCGTATCATTTGAGTCCATTTTTATAAAGTTATATATTTGGACACAAATTCAAACACATTTATTAAAGACATTTCAATTAAATTAATTCATAATAAAAAATATAATAAAATCTTCTTTAATGTAATACAACAGACTTTACAGAAGTACTTATGATATCAATAATTGTTATTTTGTTATCAATTAAGTTGTTTAATATATATAATTAAGACCCCAACGTTGTTGATAAAAGCCGATTGGTTGTTTGCAGCAATTGGTATTCACATAATGGTTAGTTTGTATAGAAATATGATTTTCTCATTTAGACTCCCAACTGAGAAATGAGATTATTTGTATTGAAAACCTTTTCTTTTATTTGTTATATTTTTATTTGTAACCAAACATTGTTTACTAATTGCTTTATTTTAGGATAAATATTAATTGTTGTGAAATCATGAACAATATTTGCTTATATATAAAGTTATTAAAAGTTAGAAGTAATTCTTCAATGGGGGTCTACCAAGAATTCAATCAATATTCTTGTCTGTGTTTTTCAATATATGAAATCACTTAAAATATTTTGATTTTGTTATAAAAGTTTGCTAAAAATCCATATTATTAACTATTATGATATTAACTATTATGAGCTCTCTGTTGGCAAATATCAGAATTAATTTATTAACTCTTATATAATAAACAATGAAAATAAAACTACAAGTTTGTATACAAATCTGCTGTATGTGTAACAATAAATTAATTAATTTATTAAATCATATTATGATTTATAGTAGACTATAATTGAAAACAAAAATAAGTTTAAAATTAAAATAGAATAATTACAGTGTGACCCGGATATACCCGGACAAATTCTATCACAAATATTGTAAATGCAACATTTTAAATATAATGAAATAAAACTAAACTATTTTAATCCAATACAAAACGTACAACAAAAAATGTTAGTGATATAAAGTGTAACAGCATTTCCTACATTGAAAACCAGTCGATTGTATGCATACATATGACTGTCATATCAAAGCCAACATTGAATTATTAAAGGAATTAATAGTGAAGTGTTTAGAGATATTGAATGAAAATTCGTATAATCGGTGAATCCGTTTGTGTGAATGAGTGGAGGCAAAGGGCTCGACATTACACCACCACTACTGGTGTTCTCGTTGTGTCTTATTTAATAATAACTCCCAAAAAAATCATTAAACCTAATCTGAAAGTCAATTTTATTATCTCTTTCATTGATTATATATTTGTTTAAAATATGGCAAACAATACAAACGAAGACACAATGAATATATCGGTGCCTTTTGAGGCGTTTAAGACGGATGTGAACAACACTTATAGCAATAAATACAAGAAGATCGCCTCCTGGACTCTCTTTTACTGTGCCTTCACTTATGTAAGTATTTGTTTGAAAAATTGCATTTTTATGCCAA